TTGGGGCGACCACCTCATCCTCGAAGCGGGAGAAGCCCACGAAGGAGCCGCGGACGACCCGGAAGAGTTGGTGGCAGCCGCATGTGTGCTTCTGGCGGCGATGAAGCGAAGAAACAAACATCCGAGACACAAGAGTCGCTTTGGTGACCTCGCGTGGTCTTGCGGTACAGTCTCCGAGGCACAGCATCCATGTGGGGAGCTTCCGGTGCTCTTCGGTACCCTAGCATCGCCAAAATTACGCTTCACATCACATGCTCGCTTATCCAGCGCTTTCGTCTTCATGCAAGGTACAGGACGAATTCCGCCAGTCTGCAGCCACCGCCACCGCCACCGCCAATGGCCAATCCGAATCCTCCAGCATTGCAGCAAGGGAGCTGGACAATGTCGCCATCAACTGGCCATCATCCCACCTTGCCCCTCCTCATCTCCATGCCGTGGGTCTAGGACGGACACCCCATACCTTCTTCCATGTGAGGGGCTGGCCTAGTGAACTCTATTTCGGAATCCTGCGGCTGAACGCTACACGTTGGCAAGCAAGGTACCAAGGAAGCTGGAGTTCGGCCCAGAAATCAACTCGTAAATTCGTTGCATTAACTTCGGCTGCTACGTTTGACCCAATTTTCATGCTTTAGTACGTACAGTTCCACCATGCACCGAAAAGAAAACAATGGCGTCCGCTATCGCTGTCATACAAAGTGGGCCAATAACCAACAAACCCCTTTCCAAAAGCATATACAAGTAGTAACGAGTAGAAAGTGTCTTGGTCCCGGACTCCATACGCTTCACGCATTGGCATTGCCATTGTATGACAGCATACGGTCGTGGGCCAGGAAGCCGACCACCCAATGCGGTCCCGTACCACCCTAAAATGCGAGTAGGTACCGAATCCAGACCATTAGCGCGGTATGGTCAAACGTCCCTCGATGGGAGCGCTGTCATCAAGTCGCCCTTCTGCCAGCCTGCGGATCCTGCTGGTACGAAAGGTCGGACACAATGGACATGCTGTCAGAGTTCCGGTGCAGAGTGGGTCCTGACAAATTCGACACTGCATCATCCGACCGCGGGTCTTCGAATGGATTCTGCAGCGGCCGGAAGACCTGTCTTTGAGAAGAGTGACGGGAGTACTGTGACGACATGGACCTCGACGAGCGAGGAACCCTGAGGCTACTATTCCGTGAGGCAAGGCTTCGAGGTTGGTATGGCGGAGGCGGCTCTTCGTGAAGGCTGCTACCATCTGCGAACGGATTGCCCAACCCTGTCCGCTCGTTTCGTGTCGACATGACATCCGACGTATCGATTCCAGTCATGTAGTTGCCGTTGGAACCCGCCGATATCGGACCTAGAATGACGGGCGGCGGTGAGGTCGGACGCTGCATGCTGTGCGTATGAGAAGTATACGAAGGTGCTCTCGAGACCGGGATCGCAGGAGCCCTGTATGCATGCACCATGAGTTGTTGGAATTTCATCTCCGGCACCACATGGCTTCGCGCTGCCGCTTGTTGCCTCTGCTTCCGTCGCTTCCGCATACAGAAGAAGACAACGAAACCGATGATGGCGATGACAACAACAGGGGCGGCACCTGCGGCCGCGTACATTGGCCCCTGGTTTGAATGCTCCTTTCTTTCATTATCTGCCGTTGATCCTCCTTCGATGCTGGGAAAGGTGGCAGAGGGGGTTTGCGCTGACGATGAGGTATGTGTCGCGGTAGCCGTGTATTTGCTTGTTGAATGCTGAATGTGGCTGTTTTCTGTAGTTGATGCAGGCTGTGTGCTCGAGGTGAAGTGTTGGCTCACGAACGGCGGTATCACCCCAGATGTTGCTTTCCAGTCCACCGAAGAGGGCGGGCCGTACTGAGAGTGATCATCATCGTCGCCAGTAGGTCTTAAGAACTGAGATGAGGTGGTGGGCATCGGATTGCCGTCGTCAGTCACCCAGGGAGGGCGGTCGTCGCCATCTCGCTTCTGAGCATTAAGCCCATCACGCCGGGGTACCATGGGGACAGTCCGGAAGCGCGCGTATATCAGCTTAGAGGAGACGGCCCTCCTGACGATGACACTGCGTCAGGCAGTAGCCAATGCTCTGGGATAGGTTACAAGAGTGATAGGCACTATCCTTTGGGGACGCGCGTAATTACAGTGCGCCTGGAGAACTTGATATCAAAGGTATCAAAACCGAAGTGGCTGGCAGTCCTGTTGTCCTGGTGTTTAGGCCTGGAAAGCGGGGCCGGCCGACGGTCTCCGCGAACTCGCGGGTTGTACTAGCTGCAGTTCCCGAAGCCTGCGGCTATCAATGACGCTGGAGTGCTACAATGTCGTATTTCAAATGAAACAATGCTCACGCAGGGCTCGTCAACGTCCTGTGATGTTGGTGAGGGAAGAGAAGGAGATCTGCCGATTGCGACTCGGAGCTGAACACAGCTGACAGTGGACCGTGCTGGCAACAATCCTCTGTCTCGGTAAGCGGACCAAGGGAGTGTATTGGCCTTCTGTTGAATGCTAGCACAGCCCCAAGATTGAGTATGGAGCTTGCGGTGCGGAGAGCTCAGCCCCCGCTTATGTCGAAGCCCTTGGCGCATCCCACGTGTAAAACATCGATCACTGGTTGATGCTGAAACGCATCCGCACCCAGTGGTCTAGATGCAAGAACACACAAATACCAGGTTCACGCTAGAAGACAACATCATTTCATCTTGCTGTCACCCTAGGTACGGACGACAACCCTGTTGGTCACAGAAACAAAGGATCCCCGTCCCCAACCATATCAGCGTCGTTTATCGTACGAGGGTATTGGCAGAAATCAGAACCACCAATTTCGGTGTGATGTACACTCGCTGCAACAATACCAGCCATGTCGTTACCACAAAGGGTTACCATGCTCGCATGGTTACTGCACGTTCTGTCCCTGTTCTCGGATTGCAAGGATAAACGTCAGTCCCAAATATGCGATATCTCCGATAAAGCGGGGTCCGTTACACCTACATACACAGCCCAAGAGATACAGCTTCAAGCCTCTAAGAGCCAAGGCGCCGTGTAAACCGACTTGAGATCCTACATCGGCATTACCATCTTCTCCACGCATGCACTCTTGCCAGTCGCGAACAAATCTTTCCGAACGAGTTATCGACCGTCACCAGCACGCAAACGTCTATTTCGAGCCTCCTCCACTCGCCGTTCCAGGGATCCTTCCCGCTGGCTTACCGACCCGGACAGAACGCTTCCGTTTCCCTCCCTCCGGTACACTACCACCATTCCTAGCGGGGTTTCAGATGCTCGTCGTACCCCGCCAATGATACGAAAACCCGAATCACATTATGTTCTGGTAGCGGCATGTACGATCGGCGGACGTTGATACCGACCTGCCGTCTGCCATCAACACTACAGCCTGTAGCGTGTAAACTGAGGTAGTGGATGTTTGGAGGGGCTGGGCTCTACATGTCATCATGCGACTGGCGGGCTGTCGTCTCCGGGTCGTTGGACTGCGCGCTGCATGTCATACAGGCTTTATGGTATCATGGGGCTACTGGTGGGCCTAGATGACTTGACAGTCGCAAAAGACCTACGAGTAGCATCAGCAAAGCCATACTGCAAGCGTATGCTTCCCCCCGGGAGAAATTCGAAGGCTGTTCCTCCGGTCGTTGCATATAACCTCTACCCCACTCCCGAGCTTGGACCAAGGGTTTGCAGCAGTGCAATCTCCATCTGGTAGACAGACTATGGTCTGGAAGCCGGTTCCCCCAACTAGAATGACCACGACGTTCTCGAGTGCCCCGCCAGATTCTCAACGTATGTCCCGCTCCATGCGGCTCTTCGGAAACTTCATCATCTACTACCACGTGATGCGCTAGGTGGGTGGTCGTACCTCGTTCAAAACAGATTCCACACAGTGGTAGGTTTTTTGGTTGATGGCTCTTGCGTCAATGTGCTTCGGAAGAAACGGCGTACGTCTCTTCGGTATACTTGTCGCCGATGGCGGACACCTCCTCCGCTCTAGTCTAAGCAATGAGAGAGAGACTCCCTGGAGGTTCGAGGCTGCCGACATTGGTGGTAGTAGCCCAGACACTTTGCGCCATCGCTGCGCAGAGTACATGGCAAATCGAGTGGTAGCAGACTATCTATAAACCAAGGCTCGAAGGGTTGAATGGCATGTCGGTTGGGTGGGGCGAAGGTAGGCAGTGTCAATGGAAGATAGGCGCCTAGCATAGCGCTCTTCTACACACAGTGGAGGATTTGTTTGATATTCTGTCACGCAGCAGCGCTGTGTCGTGATTGCCAACGACAAGATGGTGGTGGTGTGAGAAGAGGTTGGAGTTAAAGTCAAGTAGCTGTCTTCTTCATAACATGTGGCAGTGGGATGTGGCATATAAGCTCGCGAAGCCACACTTGTAGCCTGCATGATATAGTCACTCACAACAAATACCCAATAGCATAAGGCCCTGTGATCATCGAGTTAAGTGGAGGTGGTGGCGCTTTCATGCTGTGTGCACTGAGGAGCTATGTCTCGCGCACGAGTGTTCACCTCGACGTCTGTACGGCCCGAGCGAAAGATCGACTTGTTGAGCAAATCTGTCAAGTTTCAAATTGAAGGCCTATCGAAAGAAGTGCCTTACTCTTCGGTGCAATGGATTGGGGTAAATTTAGGCTGGAATTGAAGGCTACTACTGCTGGCACTTTGCAAGGTGTCGTCGGAGACTTGCTCGCGTCATCGAGAATTTTGAATTAAGAGCAATGCCATTGGATTGGGGTGATTGAATTGTTATAGCTCCTACTGGAAGAATATAAGTGATGTGGGTCGTGAGAACTGATGTTGCAAAGCTCGCTGTTCGTCGACTCTTTACCCCTCACTTGTGCCCCACTGCTCACCTCCTCTAGCCAGGAAAGCTCTTTGGCGGTCGAAATGGTGAGCGTGTGGATTTTGCACGAATATCTCTTATTCCTCTTTCAAATTTGGGCATATATACGTATGTTTTTGCAAATTTTCTATAAATCTTCTTACAAAGCAACGGGGGATTGGCGCAATGGTAGCGCGTTGGTTTTCGGTCCATCTGAAAGCGCACCAAAGGTTGTGGGTTCGAGCCCCATGTCCCTCGCTTTTTGTACGTTTTTGAGACATCCGCAAGCTTTACTGGATGGATTGTGGTATCTTTTTTTTTTCTTTTGCAATTCCTGCGAGGTATGCGCTCTGAAGGTGAGCGAGCTATGAGAGAAACAAGAAAGACGATGCGCTTTGGCTCAAGCTTCACTTTTGCTATCGCAACGCAGACAAGGCGTTTGTTTAGTTGCGACCGTTCAAGTGCAATCATCCCGTAGAGAAAAGCAAACAGTAAAGAAAAAGATCGGCATACATGCCCAGGTGTCTTTGTCTCGAACAGCAACAACCTTAAACTACAGCATAAGGCGACCACTACTTGAACCATGTTCAGAAAGTTCAAGCTTCACATTTCACAATGACGCAAAGCTGGCTACGAGCTACTGCATGCTTCGTTGAAAAGGGTTTATATTATCGTACATATATATGTGAAGCGCGCCCTGCACGCGGCAATACACGTCAAACCTCATTATGTAGTCGTTTCTTCATATAATGTAGCGTTGGCATCAACGGAGGCAACGCGTCGCCAGGATTCGGGCTGACAGAAGCCCAAGTGTTCGTTCTGTCGAGCTCTAAGCTTTCGCACTGTCCAAACGTATGGTTCTCGTCACTCGGCGATAGGATACATTCTGTGCTGCTCCCTCGACCTGTGCTTTGTGAGGTCCTTGCACGGCCACCATCCTGATGACGTTCGCTAGCTAATCCGGCGTCTTTACTAAATTTGACAGCATCTGCGCCTTTGCTGCCTCCTCTTTCTTCGTTGGAAGAAGTCATCCCCATTTCGACAGAGTGCGACTTCTTTGCGAACAGTAATCTCGGAGAGCGCAGCGTCTGTATTTTGACCTGGGCGCACATCATCAGGGGCCTGAGAGTTGCCATGCAGCCAGCCATGATCCCTACTCCGGGTTCAATCGTCGACCATATCGATATATTTGTGGCATTCCCTGTGAGAAGGAAATCAGCATGTCACGAGATGACCAGTGACTGTTTACTTACAGAAAAAGTCTTCGGTCTGAGTCAAGCCATCCACATAACGAAATCGAATCGCAGAACATACGCAGCCACTGCGACATCAGATCAAGCACAGAAACCAGGAAAGTGTCTTACAGTGTAGCTAAAGAGAGGATGAATCCCATTGAACACTTTGACTTCCGACTCATGTTGGTATTCCAGAGCAGAGGAATTGGCAACAGCACGAAAACACAGTCCGTTGAGAAAGCAAAAGCCGCGTGCTGGTATGCAAACACGCGGTCCAGTACTCTCGGTGTGCATAGACTGCTCAACTGCTGCACGACATACTCATCGAGATCAGGACCGCATCTGAACAGGCAATAGAAGAAAGATGCCGCGGCCGAGATGCAGCTAATGGCGACTGTGGTATATATAACGACGAGTTGCCAGCGCTTGACTACGATTCGGGCGAACAGAATGCTGACTGAGACCTTGAGCATCATTACTGTCGCGATGTACGTTGCTTCGCTGCCAACAGCTCGCTGTTCAAATCAGCGAGGAATTTTGGGTGAGAGGTTGGTTCTACTTTTGTCAAGTCACTCAGCTGGGCTACACTAGTAACATGCGTCCCGCCTCCGTGTCCTTCTATATAGAGGATAAAAGCACAGTATATTGTATAGATTACCTGCCGTCGAGTAAGCGGGGATCTTGGGAGGCTGACGGTGGCGTACACCCGCGAAAATCATTGTCAAATCATCCCATCCGAAGTTCGGCTTCACAAAAATTCGCGTGTAGGCACGCAGAGCAATGAACAGCCATGACAGAACAAAATGAGCAATGACAATGTTTTCGAGTTGCTCGCCACGTTTGGCAAAGCTCTTAGCATCGTGAAGTGCCATGGAGTGACGGTTTTCAGGACTAACGTTCGCAAGTCTGCCCGAAAAACGAATGGGTATCTCGAGAAATATTCAAACGACGGTATGCTTGGAAGGTGGCAGAGCGCCGCTGCGGTGGCCGGCAAGATATACCACGATCGATTGCGCATCATCATTTGCCGTACTGTGATACAACATACGTTACACACCGCTCCTTGTTGTTGTCGTTGTCGAGTTTTCGATAGAGGCAGCAGTGGGTACCGGAAAGGAAGGCTTTCATACCTATTCAGGAACAGGTACAGTGGTACAGCATGAATTGGCCAGGGGTAAGCGCTAGCGCGGAAAATGACACTGCACGACATGGTAAAAAGTAAAAATACAATCCAGAAGTAGCACGATTGCCACCCTACGCCTATGTGTGTGAGGTGTTGAACGAACCGGCAATGGCGCCTCCCTCGAGTCCTAACCAATCGAGTCGCATGGCGTGTGGTCAGTGCTTCCAATAGCGGCGTTCACTGTAAGTATTAGCACTAGACAGTACAATCTTGGTCTATGCGATAAATTGTCATCGTGTAGAGGAGAAGGAAGAAGCGTAGAGCGCGGGCCCCGGCGATGTGGGTCAGCCGACAACAGCGCTTTTCACCCTAACACGAACGGCGACTTGAAGTTCGTATCCTGTACTTCGGTCCTGAACGCGTCACTTTCGAATTGCAGTTCATCACCGTTTCTACGTTCCGATCTCTCTCCGTTCCACACCCGAAGGTCTTCAAGACATATCGCAATGGAAACGTCGCGTCCACATAGTACACAGGATATCGATCCGATGCTTAAATGCAGTGATTGAAAAGAGACAATCGCAGAAAGGAAGGACGTCATCTGGAAAGAAATCGAAATTCGGAGGTCCAGGTTGTTGTGTACATCGAACCTAGAACACGATAGGAGTTGGCTAGCTTCTATTAGCATCTGAATATGATCAACATAACCACTTGAAGGTCGTGTCCCAGTGTCCTCTACCATACCTACCACCTTCTCTCAATTGATTCTCTCGGCGAGCCCCCACAAGATGCTCTTCGCGAAAGCAAGCCGTATGGGATCAACGACCTATGTTACAACCCTTCGGTACTGTGCCTATTGATAGTGATTCATACGGCGAATGTACCAAGCCTGGTTAGTATGCCCTATCGTACATGGAAGTTGAGTGAGGCTGTGTACTATCGCTGTCAATTCAGTAGCTTCATATTCCGTGACGTACCTGTGGTATGCAGGTGGACTCGTGAACCTGATGTCAGTAACAGCCAGATAGCTCTCGGACTGTTATGTTGGACAGAGGCGCTGTGCATTGTATACAGCAGTCTCGTTGGTGGGGACAGATGGCGTGGAGAACTGTAAGCAACCTCAATGCGTGGAAACTAGCCCCGCGCCCGGCCTGGCGCCACTCCCGCCCGTCGAGCCCCCACATCCCACTCAGCTCCGTTCTTCACCCCTCACGGTCCGTTTCTATCCCATCGATCCTTCAAGATTTTAATGGATGATCTTCCGATATCTGAAACGCAATGTCTTCCGCGGGAAGCGTTCATTCGTGCCAGGATCGCGCGGTCGCGTCGCTCTACAGAATTCTAAGCGCCCATCCACCGCTTTCGGCAACGCGAACCACCGGATTGGCACGCCAGTGTTACCAAGCGCTTCTCATGCATGAGGCTCATCAATGAAGGCTCAATTCGGCTTGAGTCAGGTCGACATGCAATGTATTTTTCTGTGTAACCGCTGGTGAGGCTGGGGCCAGGAGTACTGTGCCGCAATACATGTCACGACGAACTATACTTGTCCAGTGTTCAAGTAGAAGACAATTTCCATGAGTTTTTGTCATGGCATCTGCTATCTAGAAAAAGCTAGGAACTGCTTCCCATGTTACCTTCTTCTCCTTCTCTCGTCTTTTTGTTGCTCTGTGCTGTCTGACAAGGACTTGGAGTAATCTACTGATACATTCGACCTTCTCCCTCGGTTACGACGGCAACAAGTACCTTTGGAAATTTTCATTGTTACAGGATGTCTCCTCCTATTTCGCCAATACAACAGGCGCCGCCTTCAGCAGCCGCCTCAACTGTCGGTGCCCCGAATGCGACAGCCAACAATTTCCCCCCAGTGGCCAGTTCAACAAGAACTTCAGCTTCACAAGCGGTACCAAGCAATTCATAACTTCCCGCTTCTAGCAGTGCGTACATTGAAATGAATCTCATATACGTCACTAATGCCTATTAGCATCAGGCTCTACCATTTTCCCTACTAAATGGCTTCCTTTTACCCTCCGCTGGTACTTTCTGCTCCTTCCGATTGTCGTTAGCTCCTCTCTAGGTATTGTCATTGCCTGCCTCTGTTGGTATTCTCAACAAAATTATGGCTTAGGCGCAGACGATGGCTCATCTGCCATCCTCTTTGGCTGGCGCTTCACCCCAACTCTTGTGGCGGTCCTGTACACACAGGTCACAGTCATTGTGTTTGAAGACAGCAAACGCACCGAGCCTTTCGCTAGACTAGCAAAAGCACCTCCTGAGGGAGCTACGGCACATGGGACACTACTCCAAAAGCCCAAAGCGTGGTACGCCATTCTGGTGGATGCGGCCTTCAAACGGAAGATAGTGGGCAAAACCAGCTGCACTCTGATTTGCAGCACAATCATCAACGTGCTGGCCCTCTTAATCATCTCACCCCTTTCGGCCGCTCTTCTAGCTTCCGACGAAGTTTTAGTGCCGCGCGATGTTAATTTTACAGGACTCACACCGAACAGTGGCACCCAGCTACTTGGTAATACCACTCGAGAGACCTATTTTCGTACAATGGCTGCGTTGACACGCAATACTTCGACTTCTGTATGGAATTCGGATGACTCTATAACTTTTCCAGTATGGCCAGCCTCCGACCCGATGCAAATAGGACCAAAGCTCGTGTCATCGCTAGGCTCTTGGCAAGCAGAAACTTTGACCCTGAAGCATGAGTATGATTGTGAGGATATGCCTCTGGTGAGCGCGGAACTCCGAAACAAAACTTATTCTGCTCCGGATTGGCACTACAGCTACCCCTTCAACGGCACCCAGCCGATGGTGTCGTACAAATTGGCATCACGAGATAATTGTGAATATGAACTTGATGGTATGTGAAGATTTCATTGTTCTACTAC